GTAGGACACATACTTTCATCAAAGACGTTTAATACTACTCTTGGGCCAAGCAATCGTACTTCCCATGACTTCACGAAGAGTTCGAAACTCATCTATAGGTCTGTACAAGGTCAAATGACCCATATACACTTCCTCAACCCAAACCTTCCAACAATCTCTTCCGAGTGGCAAATGATGGACCTTTGTACTTGGGTCGGTTGTACTGATATAACAAGCAGAATACTGATATAAACAAACTAACTAAGCTAGTCCACGAGTCCCCCCAAATTTCAAATAACAAGCAGAATCCTAATATAACTAACATCCATTAATTGAGAATTAGACTTATACTTATCATTCATTTAATGCAACATTTAACTATGGAAATTATCCAAATTTGATCTTCAACTTTTCATATAGTAGTCTTTTTAGACGGAAATTATCCGAAATTAATTTATGTTTTCTAAATTTGAATTCCTATTAAAAAAAACTGATTATGCAACTGTTTGAGGTCTTTTTAAAGGTAGAGGACAATGAGTAATTCTTCTAATATGTATTCAAAAGATAGAAAGAGACACCATCGAACTTCCTTTTCTTTCTTATTTTAGTGAGATAAGAGTTAGGAGAGGGGCAATAATTGAGATATGTCATGAATAGAGCTTAAGTTGTTGGATTCTCCTCATGTCTACATCCAACTTTGAACCAACATCTTGATATAATGATGAGAATAATTGGATTTTCTTTTTCTTTTACCGTTGAAAATGTCACTCTTTTCCTCATTAACCAATATAGTATAAACCAGTCATTTAAGTGTACATGTAAGAAAAATGGCACAACACCAATCATTTTCAAATGCAATGAAACGAAATACAGGCTTTGTTACACAAGATGATATCTTATATCCTCATTTGACTGTGATAGAAACACTTGCATATACTGCACTTTTAAGGTTGCCTAATAGTATAACTGGACAGGAAAAGGTCAATCATGCAGAAGCTGTGATAGCTTGGATTATCGAGATACAGGGACAGTATTATAGGTGGTCCATTTTTTAGAGGAGTCTCTGGGGGTGAGCGAAAATGTGTTAGCATTGGGCAAGAAATGCTTATTAATCCAAGTTTGTTGTTTCTTGATGAACCCACATCAGGCCTTAATTCAACAATGGCTCAAAGGATGAGAATGTAACAATCAAGCAGCAAAGCAAAATAAATGAGGAGCTTCATTTCATACCACGTACTCCAAGCAGGGGAGGATGAGAACGAATGAAAATAATTACTTGCAAGATTTTCCTCTGGAAATCAGACCACGTGCTCCAAGATGAAGTGAATGCAAAATACTTGATGGCAACGAGTCGCACAGATTCGCCTCTGAAAATCCGACCAGTGAATACGTCCTTGAAGATGCATAAGCTCAGGGCAACCAGTCGACAGATACTAAACCCTTGAGGGTCCTGCAGAAATCAACAACGTTAAGAAGACGAAATGCAAGAAATCACGACACGAGAAAATTACTTGGCACTTACTGGGGTTGAGAAAATCCAAATCAACTGGATGCCTGTCAAGAAAATCAAGCAAATCTTACTGTGATTAACTTCAATTAGAATTTGAGGGTTTTAGAAATCGATCTCAGCGAAGGGCGATTTCAAGGGAAGCGAGGTCGACCAAGAGAGAGAGTCAAGAGATTTGGGGGTTTAGGGCTGATTCATGGTACCTTGGATTGGTTTTTACTAAGTGGGTCGGGTTGTAGGTAACGTTTGTGGGCTTAGACTTTAAAGAAAGTGATGGATTAAATTTAAATGGGTCAAGATCTTTTTGTAACATTTCAAAAACGTTGCAAAAGGCTATCCTAATTAAACTTATTAGCAACGTTTAAAAAACGTTGCAAAATGTATAAATTTACAACACTTCTTAAACGTTGCGAAAAGGTAGTCTAACACATTCATATTCACAACGTTTTAAAAACGTTGCTAAAGGGTTAGGTTTAGGCAACGTTTAATAAACGTTGCCTAAACCTAACCCTTTAGCAACGTTTTTAAAACGTTGCAGTATATTAAAATCCAAGTTTTAGCAACAATTTTTAAACGTTGCAATAAGCTTAGTTTTTAGCAACATCAGATCAACGTTGCAATAGCTAAAACCTTTGACAACACCCTATAAACGTTGCAAAAAGTGACATTTGCAACATTCATTCAAAAAATGTTGCCAAATCTCAATTATATTTACCAATTGCAACATTCATGTATTTGAATGTTACGATAAACACATTTAGAAACATTTAATAACCAAATGTTACTTTTTATATGTTGCAAATGCCGATTTTTGTTGTAGTGGACCCTTATCCGCATAGATGTGACGAGTGGCTCCTGTATCCAACTACCAATCTTTGGCATTAGATACCAAGTTAACTTCAAAAACAACAACAAACAGGTTGATATCTGCAACATCTGTAGAAATATTATCCACTTCGATTATATTGGCTTGGGACGGTTTTTTTTCGGTGTATCCTTCTTTTTGCTTTGACAATCTTTAGCCCGATGTCTCAGTGTTTAACCCGATGTCTCGGCTTCCCGCAAATATAACAATTTGTTTTAAATTGTTTTGCATTGTTGACCTTTTTTTTATCCATAGTTGAACCAAAACGCTTCATTTTCTTATTCTTAGACCCCAAGTCTTCCACCATATTAGTCTTTGCTTCTATGTTGCACACATTATTCTTCTTTTCTGCAGCCCGATTGTCTTCTTCAATATGAAGTTAAACAATTAAATCTTCTATCGTCATCTCTTTACATTTATGCTTGAGATAGTTTTTGAGATCTTTCCATAGTGGAGGTAGTTTCTGAATCATAGTAGCAATCTGGAAAGATTTACTCAAAGTCATTGCAATTTGGAAAGATTCACTCAAAGTCATACCTTCAGCTTCAATATCATGAAGTAGAACTTGCATCTCTTGATCCAGACTCATTACTGTCTTTGAATCAGTCATTTTGAAATGATAATTGAATTTGAATTTAAAATAGAATTTGAATAATTGAATTTAAAATCCGAACAAATTCTTCTATATAATAATCTTGTTTGGTCTTATTTATCATTCATTTCATTTCAAGTCAAAAGAAAACATACACCACAAGTATTCATATTCAAAGCTTTGATCAGAATTTTTAGGGAAAAGAGTGCAATCCATATTTCTAGAAAGATCCTACAACATTTTTCATTGGTTCAATAAAGGTAGGATACTATGTGCAAGTTGAGTTTTACAATATTATATATTTTTACGTAACTTATTGCATGAAATGATAATTGACCTATAGGTCATTAATGAAATGAAATGTGAAATTTTCTTAGGGTTTTCTCAAGTGGTTGCATAGAAATGTGTTAGAGCATTCAATTGATCTCCGATTGCTCTCAATGAAATGGTGGTGTGAAATGTCGTAATTATATTTAAAATTTATTATATTGTCTTGGACTGTACATTATCGTACTGAGTTTTAAATATTCATTCCTTCAAATTTCAACTTTCCGGGTGAGATCGGTCAAATGTGGATGGTGGCTAAGCGGTGCACCAAGTAAAAATTTCCAAGAAAACAATCAGTAATTATTTTGTTGAGAAATTAAATGTTTCTTATATTTTTTTTATATAAATGTTCTAAGTTTTTTAATTAATATTTTGGATTAATTTAATTCAGTATATGAAATTTCCAATGAGTTAAAGTATTAAATTTTCAATTTAATAGTTTCGTATCGAGTGTGATTTATGAAACGATCGGTAGCACCTCAAATTTTAAGTGCAATAAAATTTGGGCCGTTACAACAGCTATGGACATTTCATGTAAGGTTTTGATGATTTGATGCTAAGTATATCCGTCAATATTCCATTCACATAAATAATTTCAAGAGTACATAGTTTGAGTAAGAAAAGGCTTTCCTTCATATTGGAGATGAGGAAAACATGGTCTTGGATAATGGGAATGTTCTGGAATGTTGAATCTTGTTTATCGATATTTCTGCAAATTGACATTGGAAGAAGGAATTGGTTATTTGGAAGGAGTTTCTCCTAGGATCTCAAGTTGTTTACTATTCGATCAGAGTATCCTATCTTTTATTCAATATTAAATTCAACCTTGTATTCTTTTCTTGGTAGATAATTAAGAATTATGTTCAGTACTTAGGTAAGTTTTGATAAAACCTACATTTTTTGGACCTTTATTCCTGTAAATTAGTGCTTGTCTTACATGACCGACCAAGTACAAGGTATCACCAGCATCAAGCTGTAAAAAATATTTCCAGGAGTTGCACCCGATGTATGTGCAACATCGACTGGAAACTTTTTTTATTTTCCTAAAATAATACATAAAATGGCCATCGATATGTCCAACTTCCAAGTCTAAAAGTTTAGATTTTCATGAAACTTTTTTTATTTATCCAGTTTAGCCTCCATTTAATAAAATTTATAAGTTATTTATATAAATGATCAAACTTGATTTTAACCACACATTTCAATTACAAGTTCTATCAATTTTTTTCATCACTCTTTTTTACGTATTTATTAATTAAACCGTTTGTAAATTCTTACAAACGAAGTTGTTAATATGATCTATCACGATTTTTATAAAAGTCATAAATTCATAACGATTTCATTAAAAAAGAAATTTCAAGAGATTTAGATGGATTCAAGTTTTAAAAAAATATATAACATACTCTTTTGAAATTTCATCATTTTTAATGAGATTCTTATTTCTTTTGTTGAAAATATATTGAAATTCATGAAATTAATTAGAATTTATTATCTATTAAAATCTTAATGGAGAACACCTGAATTTGGAAGGACTTTTAAAATCCGTCAAAATATTAGTTGAGATACCTTGTTAGTCTTCAATATAGTACTAGTCATATCAATATATCACTTTTCGATTTTTATGAGTGAAATTTCACTCTCTATATATATTATGGGCAAAACCCAAAGAGATAGTAGGTAATAGGCAGATATGGAGCTCAAACACTATCTTTTTCTCTGTATCTTTGTCTTCATCAGCTGCATTGTGATTTCAGTTTCAGCAGAAAATTTTTCCAGAAGCCAAATATCAATTCAATTCAATAGGAATAGTTTTCCCTCTGATTTTGTGTTTGGTTCATCCTCGTCTTCCTATCAGGTTAAATACTGATCTGCTGCTTCAAACTAACTGCGTGTGCGCGCGCGCGCCTGTTTATATATATGTTTGCATCGTTGCATGCATAATATTGATTGTTCCTAATAATGTACATGATGTTGCAGTATGAAGGAGCTGCACAAGAGGATGGCAGAGGTCCAAGTATATGGGATAACTTTACACGCAAATACCCAGGTCTTGAAACACCTCTTAGTGTCACTGTGTGTGTGTGCATTGCTGGGATTTGGATTGGGGGGTTGGAGGTTTCAAAGTTTTGAATTGAAATTAGAGATGAGAGACATGAATTAATTTAAATTTAGTCTTTCACATGCTTGTAGGCTAGCGGCGGGACATAAAACTTTGGATGTACATCAACTTTATTTAAAATCTTAAACTTTATAGAGGATGTGGTTCAACAAAAAGTTCTTTACAATTTACTCTTTTGTGTCTCTTTAGCTAAACTTCAAGTTTATTTGCTTGAACGAAATCGCAGCATTCTTCAATATAAATTTCGGGTCAAGATTTTTACTTGAATAGATGAATTTCAAGATCCTTTTATGATTGAATCACCCTACTATTCCATGTTCCGAATTCTAAATATTTTAGCACTTCAATGGTCCCAATTCCGATCATAATGAAAATTATTATCCATAATCTAAAGCCTAATTTTGCGAGTTTTTACGCCAAAATGAGATTTAAGGGCCCTTTCAATTTTGATGCATTTTTAAATACAAATTTCACATCACATTCTTGCCATCTTTCCTCTCCCCAAATTGCTCGATAAAGTAATGGAAGTTGATGGGGGTTGAGGAAAGTTGTGGATTTGAATTTCATTCCCTCCAATCCACTTTGATATATTGCAGGTTGGGTCACAACACATCAGTGATACGCGACCCATATTTTTCAACATATTCCACTCACACATGATATGCTTGACCCAAATCATAAGTGACAACGCATATCATACATTAGATCATTCTCAAGGTCTATCTCACAAAAACTCATACAACAAGTACCTCGTGTGACAAGCAAGTAATAATAGAGTACACGATACTATAAACCTATTATGAAACATACTTGAAATCCATATTATATCACTGTACAACATTAATGACATGTCATTAAAAGTGCTTCAAGTTTCAACGAAATTGGCATACATGCATTTTTCATCAAAGTAATCATTTTTCAAAAAGATAATATGCAAGGAAAACAACTTTTAAGGCTTCGATACCAATGAAAGAAATCGTAGCATTCTTCAATTTGAATTTTGGGTCAAGATTCTTACTTCAATAAATGAATTCCAAGATCCTTTTGTGGTTGAATCTCCTTCCTATTTCATGCCCCAAATTCTCTATATTTTAGCACTTCAATGATCTCATTCCTTATCACAATGGGAGGGAATTATTTTCCAGAATCTAATATCTAATTTTGTAAGTTTTCATGCCAAAAATGTGATTTAAGGGCGTTTTCAATTTTAGAGCATTTTTATATATGAATTTCACACAATTTTCTTGTCATCTTTTCTCTCCCCAAATTGTAAAACAAAGTAAAGGGAGTAATAAGAATTTATGGAAATTGATGAGTGTTGAGGGAAGTTATGTGCTTGAATTCTAGTCAAACCATTCCCGTCAGTATTTCCCTCATTTCGATTAGACAAAACAAAGACTGGAATATATATATATATAGCTTAATATTAATCAATCTCATAATAGATTAGGCCAGCTATGAAAAATCTACAATTGCCTGCAGGTAAAATTGTTGACCACAGCAATGGCGATTTAGCAAATGACTTTTATCATCGCTACAAGGTTTTTTTTTTTTTATTTTATTTTATTTCAATACTCAATCATTTACATTATATAAATGTGATTTTAAATTTGTTAATGTTCAATCATTCAGCTACGTGGACTGCTTTTAATAGTCATTATAATTAGGAAAATATTCCTTTAGATGTTTATATGTTTAGTCCCTATTTGGTGAAAATTAAAATTCAGAATTTAATCTAAATCAAAATTAACAATTAATTTTAACAACATATTTCATGAGACCCAAAAATTTGCAACCATGCAATTCATTAACCTTTATCAAAATCTACAAAAAAATTCTGATTTTAATCTCCACCAAACAAGGGCTAATTGTATAAATACGCTAATTAGGAATTATGGTAACATGCAGGAAGATGTAAAGCTGATGGAATTTATTGGACTCAATGCCTTCAGGTTTTCTATCTCATGGTCACGAATTTTACCACGTAAGTTCATGTCCTAAAATCTATTAATGAAAGATAATTTTCTCCCTTCAATTAGAAATTCAAGACTCAATTCGTAAAATGTATCATTTGTTCTGTCATATTATATTTAATCAATAACACAAACATATACTGGATCCCATAATAAGATAGTCATATAGTAAAAATAATAAGAATGAGCTTCTTAGATCAGACCAGACTGACCTCAAATTTAGGCTTGGATTTGTTATGTTCAATGCAAAACTATTGATTAAAATTAGAAGAAGATATGAGAAACGGTCAAAACCCGTCAATTTGGTGGGTTGAGAGAAACTGTCAAAATTACACTACATTGATTTTGGATTGTTTTTAAACTATTCAAAATCGATGGGCCAAAAAACTAGTAAATACCGATTTTCTTAACCCCTCATAAGTGGTGCCTACCAAAATCGGTGAAAAAAACTCACAAGCATGCCCTAAGAGTTTTGGTTTAGAATTACATATTTAAGTAAAATTTTCTCCAAATTTTTATCAAAAGGGGATAAAATTGAATCTCAATTTTGAACCTTAATCAATGTCAATTTAGTTGGACTCTTTAGTATAATGATAACGTTATATAATTTTCTAGGTTGGAGCTATTGCCTGGAAAAATGGATGGTATATTTTAAAGCCAATGGTTTAAATTTCTCTCAATTTTGGCCGGATTTTGACTTTTTGAGGATTTTGTGAGTTTTGAAGCCAATTTCTTGTATGAGAATGATTGAGATTCCTGCATTCCCTCAGCCGAAAATTAATTCTCAACCTGAGATATTCTTTTGAGTCCTCGAGAGGTCAAACCCTATATATTGTTTCAATTCGAGATTTTTTTTTTATAGCAATCTTCTTTTAATCTCTAGATTTTATAAAATAGAAATATGGATCCTTTTCTTTATTGTGCAATAATCTACTTATAGATGATTTGTTAGGGCATTTCGTCATCATTATGTTGAAAGTAATAATTAAGAGCATGTCTGGTCTAGATTCTTCATGGATTAAAATTGAGATGATGACCGTTAGTAGGCCCCACATGAGAGATGGACATTTAACAATTGCCGCTGAGTGCTTAAAAAAGGTCATAAAAATGCTTAAAATCAGGTCAAAAATCTCCACCAGGCAGGCCCTAAGTCTCATTTTCAAAGCTTATGGATATTTTATTTCCGCTACACTAATTCAGGAAAATCTTGTTTTCACGTTAAGGCATAGTGCACTAACATTAAGGTGGATTTTTTTAAATTTGGCACTAAGATTTATGTCCTTGTCCGAGACCTCTAATCATATTTTCGGCCAAATGTTATTCCTTGACTTCCTTGCTCGCGCAAGCCTCGCGATCGAGACAATATTTCATTTAGGCAGGCCTCGTCGATCGAGTCATAATTGTTCAATCGGAGACACTTTGGTGTACAATGGGGCCCTTCACTGGCTAACATGACATCCTATTGGATCATAACATTAAGGTGGACCGTAATAATTTCATTACATAACAAGAGCCACATGTAATGGCTTGTTTGAAAATGTACAACTTACGATGGGTGCTAGATGTGACCTCTAGCAAAGAATAATTAAAAAAAAAAACTTATCCCGGAAAACAATTTTTCCAGAAAACATATATCAGCTTTTTGTCTCAATATAGACAATACGAACTGCTTTATAAATGATCATTCTAGAAAAAAGGTGATCCTAATAGTATTCCTAGTTTTCTCTTCGTTCTCCATTTCTATTTTGAGAGCTTCCTAAGAAAAAAAATTTGAGTAATAGAGGAATGGATTACAAAAACAAACAATAGAGGAGGTTTTTCATTTTTTTTAACATGGAAATGTTTTCTTTCTAATAATCAAAAACTTCAACGCAAGTTTTTGTAACTTGCTCTATTTATTATGGTAGTATAGCCTATGTTATCACAACTTTAAGGGCTTGTTTGATTCCCATTTTTTAAAAATATATTTTTGAATGGGGTTCAAACAGGCCATAAATGTCTATCTTTGGTACAATTTTTTTTTTTTTTTCTCGTAGAAGAATTTTCTAAGTAACATTGGTTAGCCTATTCTAAAAGCTATTCTAACTACAAATGCACTCTCAAAATAATAATAATGTTATGTAGCACCAGGTGTCGTGCAAGTGATATGGTATTTTAAGTGTTACTCATCTTCCTTCTTTTATAGTTTTATTATTGTGATCTATCAATTAATGATAGTTGCATCTAACATAAACTATGCTTAGCACATGTGATTCTTCTCTTTTTTTTTTTTTTTGAATGTGATGGAAAATATTATTTTACTGAAGAATGTGTGATTGAAAATGGGTTTTGAAAGAAAGTGGATCAAACATGGTATTATTTTTTCAATCACTCATTCACATAATAAAATACTATGTACGTAAATTCAAAATTTTTCCTTAGTTTTTAACCACTTATTTTCCCAAAAATTATTATTCAAAACTCGATTTTCCCAAGATAATAGTTGTCAATCAAGTGCTTAATTTATTATTTTCTTACACTCTTTAACATACAGGGTGGATTTGGAAGTATATCTTAGGGTTGACTAGAATTTAGATCTTAATGGATACTTGATTATTGGATGGCTAAAAAATTTTTTGAACTAATTTAATGACGTAATAAAATTAAACCAGTTTTAATGTAGTAACGAAGCTAAAAGATTGGCTCAAACTTTAGGGTGAGGTACACCCCTATTTAACACAATAGATTAGGAATTAATGATAAAATCCAATCGTCGTTTTTCTTCTTATTCTTTTATTCTTGGTGTTTCTTTCTTCTTGCTTAAACTTGAAATTTCATTTATGCAGATGGAAAGTTAAGTAAAGGAATAAATAAAGAAGGAATCGCCTTCTACAACAATCTCATTAATGAGCTTCTATCAAAGGGTTAGAGATCACTTTATTAACTTCTCCATCTCTCTAATATACATAAATGTGATCCATTTATATCATCAATAGGTATGGAGCCTTTTCCAACACTCTTTCATTGGGATCTTCCTCAAGCCCTCGAAGATGAGTACGGTGGCTTCCTAAGTCCTCACATTGTGTAAGTAAAACTAGAATTCTTTTAGAAAATAAATTTGGTGCTTTTAGCTCCAGTTATTTGACTAAAAATCAGATTTTCAGTAGATTTTGATAAAAATTGTTGAAATGTGTGATTGAAAAGTGGATAAAAGTTATGAGTTTCATATAATGTATAATTGAAAATGAAAATGAAGAAAAATGAATTTTGAAAAATGGAGATCAACCAGGCGTGAGTCCCTAAGTTGCATGAAAGTGAAAAGGAAAGCACAACGTCACAGGTGGAAAAGTTATTGGGCATGAAACATTGTGAAAATGTTGTACATGATATTATAATATATCAAACATCCAATATTTAATTCTATAAATGATTGTTCATATTATTGAAATCCCTTCTAATATTTTGTAGTAAGAGAGTTAAAGCCAAAATGCTAAACATCCAGACCATATCGGTAGTAATGGAGTCAAACAATTTTTATTGTAGAGTGAAAAAGTACATTGTGATTTTTTTGAAATACATAAAAATAACGGTGAGTTGAGACTTTATATGAGAACATAGGTAGTCTGGTGGATAGACAGGGACAATGACCTCTTACAAAAGGTTGAACTAAGCAATTTTATGCAATTTTAAAATCTATTTTTAAATTTTTTTTTTTTTAATAAAGCTCTGCTCGATGGCCCGTGACACGGCCCTTGGGCTGGCTCGGCTTGAGCCGATGTCCCAAAATGGGGCTCGGCCCGAGTCTTGTCTCTATGGTCCCGAGCACGAGCAGACTGAGCTCGGGCTTTTCTGTGGCTCCGAGGCCGTTCGAGCCGGCGAGCCTTTTTAACATCCCTACAATCACTTGGCAATGTTGCATGAACATGTCAACTTGCAAGCCATGACTTTTGTCAGCTTTATTCTTAGTTAATCATCATTAGGGTTCCAAACATGTTTTTTGAGTTTCGAAGAAATATTTCTCAAAAGTTGTCTAGAACGGAAACATTAGCATAAAAGGAGGCCTATAATTATCGAGTTCATTTCACAAGATATCAATTCAAAATGTAATTTAAATTGATTGTGTGTTTTTAGAATCTGCTAATCGACGTATTATAAGAAACTCTTCAACACAAGTGGCCTCAATATCTTCCTGAAAATTAGGTTTTCATGCCCGACATTTTTGTCAAAACAACACATTCTCGGATTATATTTCGAAACATCTAATCAATTAATTACATTTTTTTTTTCCGACAGGGACGATTTTCGAGATTTTGCAGATGTTTGTTTCAAAGAATTCGGTGATAGGGTTAAGCATTGGGCGACTATGAATGAGCCATATATATTTATATCAGGTGGTTATGACTTGGGTAAATTGGCTCCTGGACGCTGTTCGTCTTGGAAAAACAATGACTGTCCTGCTGGAAACTCTGCCACAGAGCCTTACATTGTTGCTCACATCATGCTCCTTTGTCATGCCCAGACAGTCAAATTATACAGGGAAAAATACAAGGTTCGTACAACTTTTTTTTCCTGAACCTTTGCATAACTTCATTAAATTTTTGGTAGCCTGACTCATTAAATTCGAGTATCTGAGAATGTTGTTTATAGATCATGATACAAGTGATTTGAATTTGACTATGTGCAGTCGACGAACTAGACTGCTACATAACTATACGCTATATGGATTTAAGATGGCATTTAATTTTTTGACTATGACGGTCTATGATGCAGAACAGAACTTGAATAATAATATAAATGTCTTATTCATAACAGGTGAACAACTGTTACTCGAATTTCGGTTGAACAGACATAAAAAAAAATACTGAAATTCACCGAATAACAAATTGAAATATTATTATTTGAAAAAACGATTTTAGGATTTTCAAGACCTTAAAACATACATTAAGAGTCAAAACAAACAATTAATCTAGTTGTACAAACTTTGTAAATGGCAAGATTTATGCCATTGATTTTCATTGATTTCAAAAATTGTTTTTAAAATGATTGGCCTAGATGCTGTCAACACAAGCTTGTTTAGTAGAGATTAAAATCAGATTAAAATTGAAAAAATAGTCGTTATTATTGACTTTTATTAGACGAGTGAGACTCAATAACGGTTATATTTTCAATTTTAATTGGATTAAAATTCCTCTCAAACAAGCTAAATTTGTAAACCAAATTTGTCAACCTACTTTGTACACATAGCATGATTCCAAAACGAAACCCTTATAATATGGTAAACTAATCTGAATAGAACTAGAAAATGACAAAAATACCCTTCAATTGACTCTAAACAGAAAAATATTAAAACGCACCCCTAAAAGATGGAATTTGACCTCAAAAATTTGACGTAAATACCCTTGTATTCGTTCGTGCGTTCTAGCACTTGAGTTGAAAGTTACACGCATTTTTGTATTTTTGTAGGCACTTTTTATTTATCCTCTTTTCCAAATAGTTTATGATCCTTTCTTTTAGCTTTTCTGAATCAGTTTAAATCCCAATCAGTTATTGATATTGTTGATTTTACATATATAGCCGTTTCAGAAGGGCCAGATTGGTATAGTACTGATCTCGTTCTGGTTTTTGCCCTATTCCAAAAGGCAAGAAGATGTGATGGCAGCTCAACGGGCCCTTGATTTTATATTTGGATGGTGAGTACAACGTTAAAGAAACGTGAAATTTTAATTACTAAATATACATATAATTATATATTGGTATATTCGAGTATATAAAACTTGTTAATAAGTGATTTTCAAATGAATAATAACTCAAAATTACGTTCCGTGTCTGTATAAAGGAAGTCAGATCTCATCTTCTGCTCACGTGGGAATGATAAAAACTTTTTCTACTGACGTTAGAAGATGCCATTATCTATGGTTTTCTGCAACAATCATACATTCAGAAAACCATACCACATCGCAGAAGATTAAATCTATAGAGGAAGTTACATATCTTAAGTTTCTTGAAATTGTACTCTCATAAATTTTAACTACATTTGCATCTTCAAAAAAAAAGAACACCTCAATAAGCTCTAAACACGGCCTTAATATGGATATTTTGATGATGTTTTGAAGGTTTATGGATCCATTAACATACGGAGATTATCCAGAAAGCATGCGTACCCTCGTTGGGGAACGCTTACCGAAGTTCACAAAGGAACAAGCTAATTTGGTGAATGGCTCCTATGATTTCTTAGGACTCAATTACTATACTTCATTTTATGCTGCCAATCTTCCTGCAGCAAACCCTGTTAACATCAGCATGGCATCTGATTCTCATACTAATCGTACAAGTAGGTTCACAAATTACCTTCAAATTATTTGCTTGCAGTTCTAGTTAAGTAGAGATTTTGCACTATTTAACATTTCTTCTTATAATTATTCCGTTTCCTTTTATTTTGCAGGCGAGAGAAATGGAAAATTCATCGGACATTCGGTATGTAATTATTTTCAAAAAAATTCTAAATTGAAGACCATAATCTTGCTACAAAAAGTACAAGTAGAAGTGTAAAATGGGCTGGATTGAATTGGCACAACCATATTTTTTGTCGACTCGGAGAGAAAAACCTGGCAAGGCCCCAACATTTTTAGCCAATGTTTGGCTTCATTTTCTCAAAAACTCAAGGACTGTTCTCTTTGTATTTCAATTTTATATTTTGAATTTATTTTGAATTTTGTGTCTTGAGTGTTCATTTTGAGATTGTTGAAAATATGTTCTTTTTGGTATTTTGAAAAGATCCAAAACGCTTTTTGAAAATTTTGATTTGATTATAACTGAAAACACTCAAAATGACAAATTTGTCGTTTTGGATTTTCTTTGTAAATTTTTAACTTGTTTTCAAAAAAGCCTTTTCGAAAATAGGAAAGAGAACGCATTTTCATCATTTTGAAAAATCGAAAATAGAAAACGATTTGAAAATGGTAAAGAGAACATGTTCTCATTTTTTTTCAAACTCATTTTCAACTACACATTCTCCCATAAAATAATATTGCACATAAATCAAAAGTTTTTCCTTATTTAACCACACATTCTAAAATTTTTTTTAAAAAATCACTATTCCATAATACATTTTTTCGGCTTCTTATTTGAATTTTACAAATAAGAAAATTATTTTAAAAAATTATTAACATATTTCGTTCAAAATTATTGAAAATGACAAATAATCGACATTATTATGTTTTTACAATTTACCTTAAATTATTTACAGACGGGTATACCTGAGTTTCGTGTGTATCCAAAAGGACTTAAAGATCTCCTTATCTACACGAAGCAAAAGTACAAGAGTCCAACTATTTATATCACAGAATGTGGTGAGAATCAAAATATATGAACTGATTCGTGTACTCCATTTGAATTTTTTTAAATGTCATTTTTCATCAAGATTAAAACTCTGGAATTGTTGTTAGGAATGAGCGACGCTAATATTACTACAATAGAGCAAGGGATCAACGATCCACAAAGGATAAGATTTTTCCGTCGTCATCTTCTGGCCGTCAGGCGAGCCATTAAGTGAGTATATTTTCTAGCTTTTATTCATTCTCTATTTGCCTTTCGAGTTTATTTTGCGTCCAAACGTGAAATTTGTATGATATGTATTTGATACGTAGAATTAGATGGCGTAATTTTTTTTACTTTTAATCATGTTGAATATAATGTATCAAATATATTCACCGAGTTTGAAATTTATCGAACATGTAAATTATGTTCTTTAACCGTTTTATAGAGATTAATTGATTTTATTTAAATGTTTATTTTAAACTTTTTAGTCTCTAAAATACTATATCCAAAATTTGAGAAACAAATTCTTAAGGAATTCTTTATTATTAAATACAAATTGTTTGCGAGCAATAAATCGTTTTATCCTGAAATATGGATTTGACCATTGGGTAAGTATAAGTGTACAAGCAGCATTCCACCATATACCCTTAGAGGCATAATATGCGGTTTACCTCCTTTACCAAGGTCCAGGACAGGGCAGGTAGGGGCCACTAAGGATGCGGTTCATCCTTTTTTATAGATCGTTTTATCCAACTTGCATTAAATTTGAAATGGAAGAAAACTTTTAATTAAATTTATGTATTTAATTAGTGGAATTGCTTATGTAACAGCTTATTTAACTAAGGTAATATTAACACTATTTTTTTTTTCTTTTTTTTCTGTACAGAGAAGGCGTTGATGTAAAGGGCTTCTTCGCATGGTCACTTTTAGACAATTTCGAGTGGAATTCTGGATACACACAAAAGTTTGGATTAATTTACGTGGACCGAGCTCATGAACTCAAAAGATACATTAAGAAGTCTGCTCTTTGGTTCCAGAAATTTCTTAAATAAATCCATCTAATTGTTCTTTTTTTTTTTTTTGGCTAATACATCCTTACCCAGGCTGGGTATTTAGGCCACAAGGGATTGAGGATGAACTGCCTTACCTGCATTATGCAAGATGAATCTCGAAATTTATTTTATTTGTATTTTCTTCAGAGTATAAAAATCACGAATTTTATTTCGTCATATCAAGTTCCACATTGCTACATTGCATTGAAGAATAAGATCTGTTAAATCAATAATATAAAATATAGAGAGAAAAGGGAAAAAGGAAGCTAAGATTTCTAGATTAATTGAACGAATGAAAATACGAGAAAAATAAGCATTAAATAGTCTTACAAGCAAATAAATAAAATGACTAATTTACCCTTAAGATTATATATATATATATATATATATAACATCTCCCATCAAACTCATAATGCTTGCAGAAGCACCGAAAGTTTACCAAATAGAATATGAAGCCACAAAGTGGAATGTGAACAAATCAGCAATCTGCATGAAGGAACATAAGATAACGTGATAATTCGAAACTGATGATGATATCAAGTGACATGACAATTAATATCAATATGTTTAGTACTCTCATGAAATACTACATTGTGCACAATTTGAATAACGCTCTTATTGTCATAATACAATGGAGTAGGTCGGCAAAGAAATGCGCCCATATCTGCAAACAACCTTCATAACCAAACTATCTCACAAGTTGTAAAAGTCATGGAACCATACTCTACTTTTGTAGAAGATCTAGAAACAATATCTTGCTTCGTGCTCTTCCAAGAAATAAGAAAATCATTAAGAAAGACACATAAGCAAGTGGTAGACTAATCAACATCGGAATATACTTGCAATTCTAATAAAGAAGTAGATGAAAGTAAAAAGCTCTGAAACTAAATGCTCTGAAGATACTTCAAAATGCAAAGAATACTTATCAAATAAACTGTAGTAGGTGAAGTAAAAAACCGACTAACTTATGAACAACATCTGCAATATCTGAACGAATGATGGTAAGATAAACCAAGCTACCAACAATAGTAGGATATAAACTAGAATTTGACAATGGAAAACTATCAGAAGAAGAATACTAAGCATTAAGTTCAATAGGTGTATCAACAGTCTTATTATCCGTAAGATGAGCACACTTAAATATATTAGCTATGTACTTGGAGTAAGAAAGAAGATAACCATTCGGAGAGGATGTAACTTCAATACCCAAAAACTAATGGAGTAAACCAAATCTTTAATTGCAAAACAACGAGCTAGTTCTGACTTTAGTGCTTCAATCTCATCAGTATCATCACCAGTAATAATCATATTGTCAACACATAAAGATACCAAAACACGACTGGCTGTTGTACATCTATAAAATAAAGTTGAATCATGATAGCTAGGACGTAAACCAAGTGAAATAATCACAATAGAAAACTTCTCAAACCATGTTCAAGGTGCATGTTTGAGACTGTAGAGAACTTTTCAGACTTTGCAAATTTTACCGGTTGATGAGAAACGCTGGGATGGGAACCACGTAGACTTCTCGTTGTAGATCTCCATTTAAGAAGGTATTTTTAACATCAATTTGAGATATACTCCATCGACAAACAAAGGCAACTATAATAAAGGTGCGAACTGTAGTCATTTTTGAACAGATGCAAAAATCTTCTCATAATTCATACCACGTTCCTGAAAATGCCCCTTAGCAACTAATCAAGCTTTAAAATGGCGTACAAAGGCAAGTGACAAAGAAGGTTGACAAAATGACGTGGCATTGTTGAAAAAAAAATTCCAAAAAAATTTAAAATGAGACAAGAACGTTCTCTCTCCCCATTTCCCCCCCAAATCAAACCCCTCATCTCTCTCTCTACAACACCCATTTCCTACCCAACACTAACCCACAGCAGTTGCTCAGCTTCGACAACCTCTGCAGCTCCAGCGTTGTCCCCATCTTCGACAGTCACTCAAACTATTGCAGTGTACTCGCTTTCGGCTTGCTTCACACAGTCATCAAAGGGGACGCCCTATGGAGAACTTCACATCCTGAAGCACCAAGTGAGAATCAATATCTTAATTTTTATTCTTTCGGCTTTGTTAATGATTTTGTATATAGCTTGTGCATGGAAATTAATTTGGGAATTTGTTTTGGATGTTAACTACTCGTTAAATTGAAATTTAGATTCAACCCTTTGTTAATGATTTCATATAAACATAAATTTGGGAATTTCTTTTGGATGTTGACATACAGGTCCGAAAAATGAAGTCGACTTTTCTTCTTGTTTAAACAATTCCTCTTTAGTTTGAAATCCTAATTATATGTTGCTGTGTTTTTTCATTTTCATTACTGCCTTATATTTGAAAGAATCGGCTGACTTATCTCCTCTCTAAATCCTCCACTTCCACTTACTCATTTAGTTTGCTAAAGATTAAGATGTTATTTGTCCAATTTTGACATTTGCTCTTGGTTTTTTGATATGCTAAGCACCGAAATTGTATTTGTGAATTTTTGAAATCTGTTGTTTGATCCTCTTTCAATTTGTTGGTCGACATTAGTTTTTAATGTGTACTTGTCATATTAGGATTGTAGTGTGTCACGGTTGTAGGAGGAAAAACGGTTCTTATGCTTTAAGGTGGATTTCACCCACTGAATTTACATCCTCAACTTTGAGGGAAAAATGGTAAAACTGATGTTTGTTAATATATCCAGCAGCACACAATGTCGGGAAAGAACTTCGAAGTTTGCCACGGTTGCGGAGTGTTGGACACTTCTTCGGCGATTGCCCAATAAAACGTCGATGCCCACAATGTACGAATGGATTTTAGAAGTTTTTCGAGGTTGAAAGGGAAACTATTAACAAAGGTAAATTCTTCAAATGCTATAGTGAGGAGTGTGGGTTTTGGGATTGGTATAAAGAAAGAGAAGCAGCCGGTGAATTGAGTAATAGTAGCGTTACTTTGGCTAAACCAGCGGCGCACGAAGAAGTTGAAGATATATCGCGAAGGTTCCAAACTCAAGTTTGGCTAAATAACGAAGAAGAACTCCTGATTTCTGTAAACATGAATGTGATAGTTCACTGGGGAAAATCACTTGACGAAGGGAAAACGAAGGGGACGGAGACGCCTTGATTAGTGGCTAACGTTTGGCTGTAAGTTGTTTGGCATATTCATGAATACAACGCATGACATTTTGGTGAAGTAGTTGTGTGAATTTCCCTGAAGTTGTGGTTCTCAATTTGGTGAATTAGTTTAGTGCAGTACATAGGTTGGTTTGTCATCCACGAATGTCTTGATTTATGTATCTTGTGCGAACATTGGATACCTGTTAAATTAGTATGCAGTTTGGAGAGTTATTGAATGCATTTATTAAATGAATTCTATTAATGCTGCCCAACAAAACTTTGAAAAGTCAATACTGTCATAAAAATGGGATGCATGTCAATTTTTTTTATTTAAATGAGTTCAATTATTACTGTTAAAGAAATCATGATAGAGCCGGAATACATATCTTAATTCAAGAAAGTCATCAAAATCTTCCCAGATGGCATTCATGTTTTCAAGATTATTTTTTTAATCTTGAGATCTTCCAAACATTACAAGAATTAAATCCTGAAGTATAATAAGTCAGAAACACCCAAATTGCAACTTCAACAAGTGTGACTAGAATTTTCAAAATCCACACGAGCAAAGAGTATGTCCATAGAGGAAAAAAGAGAAGGTCTCGTTGCTTGTAAAATACCGGTTGAAATATGCCTTCACCGTTTACTTGAATTCAAATGGTGCCACCATGATGTGATAAATGTGGATAGTTGTAAAGGCTCACATGACATAATACACAAATTAGAATTAATAAGAGAAGAGTAAGTATTCAAATTCAAATATTGTTATTTAAATGTATTTACGTACCTTGTGAATTGAAAATAACATTTTTGGTCCTAGGAGGGATCAAGCTAAAAGGCATCACTTGTGATGTAAACACATGACTCGTCATGTCACCTTACATAAATTTGTTGCAGTCAACACAACATAAAGTGCTTACCAAAACGGTATAACTAATATACTAACCAATAGAAGTTGTGAATTTGAGGACAACATCGACATGAAATATTGTTGTTGAGGAGGTGGCAGAACGTCAGGGCGCATCTTTTATACTAGTATGCCTCGATGTTGGCCTATTTCCTTTAGTTTGATTACATCATACCTGCGTAGATACCATAACGAATATGACTTAGTGTATAAAAATGAAGTGAATACAAGAGTAGAACATACTAATATATGCCTTTGCTTTCTTAGTGCTCATCTCCAATTGGCCTTTTCTCCGTTTGGTCTTGGGCACCCCCTTTGTCTTCAACGAGTTTGGATTCTTGATGCTCCCGCTTCCTGTATCTTAAGATGTAATATACTGCCTATTGGTATTACTACTTGTACTCGACTTTGTCAAACTAAGCTTTTTATTTTGAAGTTCTATCCAATCTTTAATAGCACGGTACAACCCTTAGTCATCAGCTGCAAGGTCTGCCTTTGGCGAATGATTGACACATGTCATCATACCTCAATTATCCAGGTGTACTAACCAACCCATCGTAGTTAGCTACGACCCTCGTGTGTGCTCTGCTGACGTCTCTTATCCATCTCCACAGTATGTACCGATCCGACATTACCGTTACATCATTACGTATCAACAATGAGATCGCATGCCTACATACTATTCCTCGAAACTCAAACAAGTTACAGCTACAAATAATTTCACATTTATGTCCATTGAATTAGACAAGAAATATTTTTTTTTCTTTCGTCGACCGATACATAAAATGTCCTCGCGAACCTCGTACGTCGTCCCCATATATCCATCTGAAGCAGATATAAGGTCACAATAAACCTTCCCCGTAAATTCACCTTGAACTTCCCAGAACTTCGAAATGGTGTACACTACCTGATATTGCTTTTCCATTTCGTACGTTGTTGCACATGATAACATTTGAGAGAGACTTGAAATCAACCTGAAATTCTTTTTCAAC